TGCGTGTGGAAGCTCACAGCTATGTACAAGTCCTCCTTAATTTTACAAAGGTTCTTAAATAGAGTTCGGAACGTCTCTCTTTGCCCAGAAACCGACGTGCCTGGCTGCGTAGTCAGTTCTTTTTTTTATTTTAAGGATAAAACTCGACGTTGGCTGTCCCACGAGAGGGACAATTCCACGGGATGGGTAGCAGCCCACCGACTCTTTCTTTTCTTACCTACGGCCATCTGTTGGCACGTAAAGAACTTTTAACGTTATTATTACTTATTATTATCTTTTTGAAATGATCATTTTTTTTAAAAAAAAAACAACAAACACATGATCTGTCCCTGGCTAAGTTCCAGAAGCGTCCGGTCGTGGGGTTAGTTCGGAAACCTCTAGGAATCGGGGACGGGCGGACGTCCGTGGGCTGCGGTTGGCGGGAACCACGAAGGGGTATGAACGCGTCATGACCTCGAGGGCCACGCCTAGTTTTCACATTTCATAGGGTCAGAAGTTGATCTCGTCGTACGGGGAGTCGCGGTCCGCGGACGGGCCCACGGGCGCCCGGCGAAGGACGGCCCTTCTGCATGTGTGTGTGTGTGCGTGTGTGTGTGTGTCCAGTTTTGCTTTTTCGTTCTGTTATATTCGGTTCGATGTGCGTGAGATGGAGAACATTCCTGGGGTGGCGATGTGGCGTCTTGAGTCTCTCGCGCTCTCCGGGGGGCGTGGCGGGGACGCGGGGGGACGGGGACGCGGGCGGCCGAGCTATACCCTGGTGGTGGAGTGCCCGTGGGGTAGGTTGCTACTGTTCTGGCCGCCGCTGAAGGTGTTGAAGGTGTGCAGGGGCTGCATGCCCGTCAGCGTGTTGGGGATCATGGTGATGGTGTTGGGTGTCATGAGCGGGATGTCGTCGGGCGAGCGCCGCAAGGTGAGGGTGTAGTCGGGCGGGCAGGTGAGCCGCAGCGTGTCGTGCGCCTGCAGCGACTCGCACTCGTGTCCGTGTTCGAGCTGCTTCATCTGCAGGGACATGATCTCCTCGTTGCGGATGTGGGCGATGTCGTTGGTGGTGCTGCGCTGGGGGCTGGGGCGCCGGTGCGTCTCGTGGCGGCGCTTGTCCTTCTTATAGTAGAGGGCGGCGAAGGCCAGGATGTTGAGGAACAGCAGCGAGGCGCCCACGGCGATGGTGACGCTGAGCTCCGTGGAGTAGTCGCGCTTGGTCTCGATGAGGACGGTGGTGTCCTCGGGGCCCGTCTTCTGGGGGTCCTTGGCGTGCTTGGGGCTGTTGGCGGGCGTGATGGCCGGGCGCTTGGTGGTGGGCCAGATCTTGGCCGGGGACCGCCGGGTGCCGTAGGGGAAGGAGGTCATGTCGGGGGGGGGCACCTTGGTCGTGGTGGAGACGTACTGGAAGATCTCGTTCAGGTTGTGCAGGTGGGGCACCAGCTCGAGCCAGAAGGCCACCTTGGTGGCCCGGTAGTGGTCGCGGACGCGGGGCTTGAGGCCGATGTGCAGGTACAGCTGGTCCTTGGGGTTGTACTTGGACCAGGCCACCTCCTCGAAGCGGTTGGGTTTGGTGTGGATGAACTTGGTGTCCTGAGGCACGGGCTGGTTGGGGTCCCTGGGGAGAGGGGGGAGGGAGAGAGAGAGAGAGAGAAAGGACATCATCTGCTTCCACGTGGCACAACTACATCTTCATATCCTATAGAATAAAAGGGTAATATGCAAACTGACCCTAACAGCAGAACGACTGGGAATGACCGGTCACTATGACACACACTGACCACCAGGGGGCAGACGCTCAACACAGGAGCTGCCCTCTGGTGGTCAGTGCGCTCCCACAGGGGGAGCTCTGCTCAGCCACAAGCCAGGCTGACGGCTCCCAGCACAGTGGTGGTGGTAGGAGTCACTCCCACCTCAGCAGCGCTAAGGATGTCCGACTGCAGCTTAGGCCTGCTCCCCACTGGCAAGTGGACATCCCCCGAGGGCTCCCGGGCTGCCAGAGGGATGTCTGACTGCCAGCTTGGGCCCAAACCCTGGGGAGCGGGCCTAAGCCAGCAGGTGGACAACCCCCAAAGGCTCCCGGGCTGCCAGAGGGATGTCTGACTGCCAGCTTAGGCCCAATCCCCCCGGGGAGCAGGCCTAAGCCAGCAGGTGGACATCCCCCGAGTGGTCCCAGACTGCGAGAGGGCACAAGCCGGGCTGAGGGACCCCCCCTGAGTGCAAAATTTTTTGTGCACCGGGCCTCTAGTCTATATATATTTATATATATCTATATCTATATCTATATACCTATCGATCTATCTATCGCCTATTATATTCTATACTAGGGGCCTGGTGCACGAAATTTGTGCACATTAAAAGTTAAATTAATTAAAGGAAATATTTTAATATTGCTATTGGACCTTTGCCGGGGGCAGGGATGCGAGCCTCAAGTCCCCACCCACCCGCTCCTGCTGCACACGCAGCCTGCTGATTGGTCGTTATGTGACGGCATCTCAACCAATCTGCATATCACCCTGTTATTAGACATATAATAAAAGCCTAATATGCTAAGCATCCGGGCGGCCAGTCATCCGTTCAACCAATCAAAGCGTAACATGCTAATGATATGCTAAGGCCGCTCAACCGCTCGCTATAATGTGCACTGACCACCAGGGGGCAGACGGTCGACCAGTCGCTATGACGTGCACTGACCACCAGGGGCAAGGAGCTCCGACCGGTAGGTTAGCTTGCTCCTGGTGTCCGACTGATCAGGACTGAGTGAGACGGGCCGGACACGCCCTGGAGCCCTCCTGCGGCCACTCCCCCCAACTGGCCCACCTCATGGGCCGCCATTGGGTGGGAGGAGCCAGCCGGACCCCACATGTGCCCATGACCGGAATCGAACCCGGGACCCATCAGTCCATAGGCCGATGCTCACCCACTGAGACACACCAGCTAGGGCCCTCTCTTTCTATATCTATCTCCCTTGCCCCCTCTCTCTCTTTCTCTCTGTATCTCTCTCTTAATATATCTCCCTCTTTCTCTATCTCTGTGCATCTCTCTCTTTCTCTCTGCTCCCCTCCCCGCCACACACATCATATGAGCCATTGGGCATATCAGGATGGCCTTGGCGAAGTGCAAACATTGAACCTTCTACCGGATATTCACAGCAATGCATGTTGGGAGTCATGTCAACTTTGTGGTCCTATGTGCACCGTGGGATATATATTTATTGATTCCAGAGAGAGGAAGGGAGAGGGAGAGAGCTAGAAACATCCATGATCAGAGAGACTCATGGATCGGCTGCCTCCTGCAAGCCCCCTACTGGTTGGGGATGGAGCCCGCAACCCGGGCATGTGCCCTTGACCAGGAATCGAACCGTGACCTCCTGGTTCCTAGGTCGATGCTCAACCACTGAGCCACACCAGCCAGGGCCATATTGCAAATCACTAGCTAGCAACGACCTCTGAACCCCTTGTCACTTGCTCACAAACACCTCAGTCGCTAGACTGTGCCCATCCGCTATCCATCTCCCCCTTTTTCTGGTCAATCCGGCTGCTGCCGGCGAAATCACGTTCCGTATGTACTTGGATTTCGAGTGCATTTTGCTTTGCGCATTCAGCAAAGTTCCGAGTGGCCTCCTTGGCGTGCCAACGAGCTTTCCAAATTAATTAAAGGAAAAAGAAAAAAAACAACTCATTGCATGAGTGTGCCTGAGTGTCATTTCAGCTCTACACCCCGTGAGGGGCAGATACGGAATCAGCTCCCACTTGGATGAAGTCCCGACCGTTCTAAAGGACTTCTGAGGCCCTTCACCATCTCTGTCTTGTTACCTCGGTGAGATTCCTTTATTTTTTTCTTTCATATTTTTATTGATCTCACAGAGGAAAGAAAGAGGGAGATAGAAACATCCATGAGGAGAGAGAATCGTGGACTGGCCGCCTCCTGCACGCCCCCTACTGGGGATCTAGCCCGCAACCTGGGCATGTGCCTGGGACAGGGACTCGAACCCAGGACCATTCAGTCCACAGGCTGATGTCCTATCCACTGAGCCATACCAGCTAAGAGCAATGTTTTTAATTTAAATATATATATACTAGAGGCCCAGTGCATGGAATTCATGCATGGGTAGGGTCCCTAGGCCTGATCGGCAATTAGGGCCGATCACGGCCTTCCTTGCCCAGCTACCAGCCAGGGCCTCCTTCGTTCTGCACCGCCCCCTGGTGGTCAGTGTATGTCAGAGCGGGCGGTCGCACTCCTGAGGGGACAATTTGCATATTAGCCTTTTATTATATAGGAGTTTTTTCGAGTTCAGAGAAGGAAGAAGGAGACAGAGATAGAAACATCCATGATGAGAGGGAATCATGGACCGGCTGCCTCCTGCACGCCCCCTACTGGGGATCCAACCCGCAACCTGGGCACGTGCCCTTGACGGGAATCGAACCCTGACCTCCTGCTTCATAGGTCGACGCTCTAACCACTGAGCACACTGGCCAGGCCCACGAGGGTGGAAAACGCAGCTGCGGGCAGAGTGATTGTTAGGAACCGCGGTCTCGGCCTTCAGACGCCTCCAACGACAGAATCCTGCGGGGTTTTCCATCCAGGCTCCGCGTTCCCTGGGACCTGGGGAAGGTATCGTCCTGAGGCCGGCTTACCACTAATTAATTCCCTTCATCTTTCTCTTTCTTTCATGTTTAAACAAAGGGAGGCAGCCTCAGCTGCAGAGCCCTCGGGCGGGCAGGAGAGCTAACGAGAATTTAATGGCTTTGTTTGGCTTCCACAATTTTCTTTTAATGCTTCAGTTAAATCGATGATAAATGACACTGGCTTTGCATTAAAAAAAAAAAACCCAAAAAACCCAAAATGATTAAATAGTTTATTTCCAGCCCAGCCGGTGTGGTTCAGTGGTTTAGCATCGACCTAGGAACCAGGAGGTCCCGGGTTCGATTCCCGGTCAGGGTGCATTGTAGCTGTCCTGGCCGGTGTGGCTCAGTGGATAGAGCGTCGGCCTGCAGACTTAAGGGTCCCAGGTTCGATTCCTGGCCAAGGGCACGTGCCCGGGGTTGTGGGCTCAATCCCCAGTAGGGGGCGTGCAGGAGGCAGCCGATCCATGATTCTCTCTCAACATGGATATTTCTGTCTTTCCCTCTCCTTTCCTCTCTGAAATCCATAAAACAAATTTTTTTAAATAATATATGTGTCTATCTACAATCATAAAAGTGTAATATGATCATTCGGACAAGAGAACTGAACGACCTTCCGGACGTCCTTCCGGACGACCTTCTGCACGAAGCTGAGGCTGCGAGGGCGGAGCCCCTTGCGGAATTTCGTGCACGGGGCCTCTAGTATTTTTATATATTTTAAACTAGAGGCCTAGTGCATGAAATTCATGCACAGGTAGGGTCCCTAGGCCTGGGCAGTGATCGGGGCCAATCAGGGCCTTCCGGCTGCCGGCCGGGGCCTCCCTTCATTCTGCTCCACCTCCTGGTGGTCAGGGCACATCATAGCAAGCAATCGAACTCCTGGTCGAACTTCCGAGGGGACAATTTGCATATTAGCTTTTTATATGTATATATGGACTAGAGGCCTGGTGCACGAAATTCGTGCACAAGGGGGTCAGAAGGGTTGTGTGTCCCTCAGTCCAGCCTGCACCCTCTCCAATCTGGGTCACCCCTCTCACAATCCAGGACTGCTGGCTCCCAACCACTCGCCTGCCTGCCAGCCTGACCACCCCCTAACCACTCCCCTGCTGGCCTGATCGCCCCCTAACCACTCCCCTGCCAGCCTGATCACCCCCTAACTGCTCCCCTGCTGGCCTGATCGACCCCTAACCACTCCCCTGCCGGCCTGATCACCCCCTAACTGCTCCCCTGCTGGCCTGATCGCCCCCTAACCACTCCCCTGCCATCCTGACCACCCCCTAACCACTCCCCTGCTGGCCTGATCGCCCCCTAACCACTCCCCTGCCAGCCTGATCGACGCCTAACTGCTCCCCTGCTGGCCTGATCGCCCCCTAACCACTCCCCTGCCAGCCTGATCACACCCTAACTGCTCCCCTGCTGGCCTGATCGCCCCCTAACCACTCCCCTGCCGGCCTGATCACCCCCTAACTGCTCCCCTGCTGGCCTGATCACCCCCTAACTGCTCCCCTGCTGGCCTGATCGCCCCCTAACCACTCCCCTGCCAGCCTGACCACCCCCTAACCACTCCCCTGCTGGCCTGATCGCCCCCTAACCACTCCCCTGCCAGCCTGACCACCCCCTAACTGCTCCCCTGCTGGCCTGATCGCCCCCTAACCACTCCCCTGCCAGCCTGATCGACGCCTAACTGCTCCCCTGCTGGCCTGATCACCCCTAACCGCCCTCCCCTCCTGGCCTGATGACTCCTAACCGCCTCTGCCTCAGCCCCTGCCACTGTGGCTTTGTTCGAAAGACGTCCGGAAGACGTCCGGTCTAATTAGCATACTGACTGCCAGTTTAGGTCCGATCCCTCTCGCAATCCGGGACCACTGGCTCCTAACTGGTCACCTGCCAGCATGATCGCCCATAACCACCCTCCCCTGCTAGCCTGCTTGCCCCTAACTGCTCTCCCCTGCCGGCATGATCGCCCCTAACTGCCCTCCCTGCCGGCCTGGTTGCCCCCAACTGCCCTCCCTTGCAGGCCTGGTCCCTCCCAACTGCCCTTCCCTGCTGGCCATCTTGTGTGTTGGAGTGATGGTCAATTTGCATATTACCGCTTTATTAGAGAGGAGAATAAAGATAAATAAATAAATAAGAATCCGTGGAAAAATATCAGAAGAAAAAAACAAAACGACCCACAAAAAACACAGGAGCAACCAGACATCGGGGAGCAAGGCGACCACCGGACCGGCCTGGCTGGGTGGGGGTTCGAGGGGCACGGCCTACCCGGTCTTGGCGAAGTTGGTCCAGTAGGTCATGACCACGGCGCTGAGCATGACGTCGTTCTTGGAGAAGTTGCAGCTGAAGAGCTCGGTGGGGCCGATCATGGGGATGCCGAAGACGTAGGGGACCTCGTCCCCGTGGGCCGCGTCCGCCCAGCCCGGCTTCATCTCGCTCTGGCAGTGGTGGTAGAAGGCGTAGAAGTAGGTGGGCGACCCGTACTGGGCGTGCAGGTCGGCCGTGGCCACGGCGGGGGCCACCCACTGGTGGTCGGTGAACAGGGCCACCAGCGTCTTGCGCCGGGTCTCGGGGTTCTCCTTGTCGGCCCAGTCCGTGTACATGAACTTGATGGTCTCCCTCAGCGTGTCCTTGCCCTCGGGGTAGCCGTACAGGTTGTCCACGAAGTTGGACACGGAGAAGTCGAAGTCGTTGGGCGTGACGCCGTCCTCGTTGTCCACGATCCCGTCCACGAACTTGAGGCCCTCGCCCTGGTTGACGCCCAGCATGATGTCATAGTTGAGGAACTCGCCCTGCTCCATGAGGATCTGGGGGTCGTCCGGGATGACGTCGCCGTCGATGACGGGGCCGAAGGCGATGTGGTAGGTGGCGGGCGTGATGGTCTGCTGGATCAGCTCGCGGTGGCTCTTGCCCCGCAGGCACTCCACCAGGTCCGTCGTGTCCAGCATGTTGCAGCCCACCTTGTCCGCCAGGATGCGCGTGTACTTGGCCGGCTGGTAGTTGACGGCCCAGCTGGACAGGGCCGTCCCACTCTGGATAACGGCTTTTTGGAACAGGCCTGCGGGCGGGGGGGGGCGGGGGGCGGGGGGCACGCCAATGAGAGAAAAGGGAGGAGTCACCCCAAAGACCGAGACGCCGCTGGGGGAGGGCAGGCAAGGCTGGGATGGGCTCCTGCTCGCTTCCTCGATCCCAGCCCGTCACCCCCACAACCGTCTCCGTCTGCACGTGGAATTTAGGGGGTGTTCTTATTCTCACGCAAACACACACATGCACACACGTGCATGCATGCGGCCCCATAAAGATTGTTTAAGAAAATGGGACGATTCCCAGCTGGTTTGGCTCAGGGGGTGAGCATCGGCTTAGGAACCAGGAGGTCACAGGTTCGATTCCCGGTCAAGGGCACATGCCTGGGTTGCGGGCTTGATCCCCAGTCGGGGGCGTGCAGGAGGCGGCCGGTCCGTGATTCTCTCTCATCATGGATGTTTCTAACTCAATTTCCGTCTCCCTTCCTCTCTGAAATCAATAATATATATCTCTCTATATATCTATATCTATATCTATATCTATCTATCTATCTATCTATCTATCTATCTCTCTATATATCTATATATCTATCTATCTATCTATCTATCTATCTATCTATCTATCTCTCTATATATCTATATCTATATCTATCTATCTATCTATCTATCTATCTATCTATCTATCTCTCTCTCTCTCTCTCTCTCTCTCTATATATATATATATAAATGAAACGATATGTGCAATGTAGCTGCACTGATAAAATTAGGCATTCTCTTTCTCGTTCTTTTTTAAAAATATATATATTTCTATTGATTTCAGAGAGGAAGGGAGAGGGAGAGAGACAGAGAGAACATCCATGATGAGAGAGAATCATGGACCGGCCGCCTCCTGCACGCCCCACACTGGGGATCGGGCCCGCAACCCGGGCCTGTGCCCTGGACCGGGAATCGAACCCGGGACCCTTCCGTCTGCAGGCCGACGCTCTATCCACTGCCCCAAACCAGCGAGAGTTGCACATTGATTTTATAGGATGTTTTTATACGCACACACACACATGCACACCCCACAAATATCGGTTCAGTAAATGGAACTACACAGGCAATTTAGCTGCACTGATAACATAATGCATCTTCTTTCTTTTTTATTAATTTTTCCCTTTTTAATCCTCCCCCTAGGATAGTTTGCCATTGATTTTAGAGAAAGTGGGAGAGAGAGGGAGAGAGAGAGAGAAACATCGATGTGAGACAGACGCATCGATGGGTTGCCTCCTGCACGCGCCCTGATCTGGGGAGGAGCCTGCAACCGAGGTAGATGCCGTTGACCAGGAATCGAACCCGGGACCCTTCGGTCTGCAGGCGGATGCTCTAGCCACTGAGCCACACTGGCCAGGGCTTGCATTGCCTTTCTCCTCCCGCCACCTGGTGGGGTTATTTGCGTGGTCACGGGGTACCCTGCCCCAGGGGAAGAATCGGGGGCCACTTCATTACAGGAAAAACAAACCCACGGAAGGGAATTCAGAGATGCCCTCCTGCTCCCCTCCTCCACGTATCGGAGGCGCCATCGTAGAATTTTAGTGGGTCCTGGCCTGTGGGGTTCAGTGGGTTGAGCACCATCCCATACACAGACAGGTCCTGGGTTCGATTCCCGGTCAAGGGCACGGGCCCGGGTTGCGGGCTCCAATCCCAAATCAGCCGATCCGTGATTCTGTCTCATCATTAACGTTTCTCTCTCTCCCTCTGCCTTCCTCTCTGAAATCAATTCTATAGAATAAAAGGCTAATATGCAAACTGTCCGCTCGACTGGGAGTTTGTCCAGGGGGTGGGCCCGGCCGGACAACAGCCCATGGCCCCTCCCCCCGGCCAGTCCACCGGAATGACACCCCTATTGGGGCAGGACTGGCAGGCCAACCTCTCACGGCCCCTTCCCCTGGCCGGCCCCGCCCCTGATCGGCCCCCCCACCCTGATTGGGGGCGGGGCTGGTCGGGCAACCTCCTGGGCATCCCCTCCCCTACCCACCCCCCGTTGGCCTGGCCCGATTGGTCCTGATCAGGGTGGGCCGGCCAGATCCCCCAACCTGTGCACGAATTCGTGCACCGGGCCTCGAGCAAAAATATCTTGAAGAAACGACATGTAGGCACATGTCATTTTGGGGGGCACGGCTTCCTGGGTGGGTCCCGGGGTCCCCGCGTTACCTTCCGAGTAGTGGGACAAGGTCAGGAGGCTGACGCACGAGGCCCCCGCACCCGAGCCGAAGATGGTGACGCGCTTGGGGTCGCCCCCGAAGGCCCCGACGTTCTCCTCGATCCAGCGCAGGGCCTGGATCTGGTCCAGGAGCCCGTAGTTGCCCTTGGCCGCCTGGTCGCCCGTGCTTAAGAACCCTGCGAGAAAAGAGAAAAATAGTTTCAATTTCCTACTCGCAAGAGCCCGTCGGCCCGGCCGGCTGGTGTGGCTCAGGGGTTAGAGCGTCGACCTGGGAACCAGGAGGTCCCGGGTTCGAGTCCCGGTCAAGGGCACAGGCCCGGGTTGCGGACTCGATTCCCCAGTAGGGGGCGTGCGGGAGGCGGCCGATCCGTGTTTCTTTCTCATTATTGATGATTCTTTCTCATTATTGATGATTCTTTCTCATTATTGATGATTCTCTCTCTCTCCCTATAAAAATCAATGAAAAAAAACCCCACATTAAAATTAACAAAACAAACACACAAAAAACGCCCATCAATATTGTTTCTGTTTGATCGATTGTGGTTTACGGGGTCCCGCGAGCCGCCGTGTAAAACATCCGGTTTTTTTTTTGTGGCCAATAGAACGGATTTCGTCTCTGGGGTTCGTATGGGGCTGACGCGGGAGGAGAAATTAATCTATGACGGTGACAACAAGCAGCAATTCTCGATTCCAGCCACCATTCCCATTGTGCGCGCTGGTCTTTGATCGACAAAATGAGAAAGACGCCTAAAACTGGGTTTTCAAAGGGGAAAAAAAATTAAGTGTGTGTGTGTGTGCAAACCCCAGTGCACGGCTACAAAAGCACTAAACGTGTGGATTTACCATTCGTTTTTTTATTAAAAAAATATATATTAAACCTTTATAAATAGATATAACCTTCAAAAATATATATTGGAACCCTTTAAAAATATATATATTTTAATTGATTTCAGAGAGAGGAAGGGAGAGGGAGAGAGAGATAGAAACATCCATGATGAGAATCATGGACCGGCTGCCTCCTGCACGCCCTGCACTGGGGGTGGAGCCCGCAACCCGGGCCTGTGACCTTGACCAGGACTCGAACCCGGGACCTCCTGGTTCCTAGGTCGACGCTCAGCCACAGAGCCACGCTGGCCTGTAAGGAAGTGGGTTTTTGTATCAAAAAGGCAACGATTGGGCCCTGACCAGTGTGGCTCAGTGGATAGAGCATCGGCCTGAGGACTCAAGGGTCCCGGGTTCGATTCCAGTCAAGGGCATGTACCTTGGTTGCAGGCACATCCCCAGTGGGTGGATGTGCGGGAGGCAGCTGATCGATGTTTCTAACTCTCTATCCCTCTCTCTTCCTCTCGGTAAAAAATCAATAAAATAAAATAAAATAAAAATGGCAACGATCAAGACTCCCTGCCCCCTGAGCCCACAGATACCTGAAGAATTAACCCCTGCAAGGTGGCTGCTATTCAGCACATACCCCACCTCCCCGATTTGATTAGCAATTAATAATTACGAGCCCGGCAGGTGTGGCCCAGTGGTTTGCGTCCACCTCTGAACCAGGGGTTCAGGGTTCGATTCCCAGTCTGGGTTGTGGGCTCGATCCCCAGCGGGGGGCGTGCAGGAGGCGGCCGACCCGTGATTCTCTCTCCTCATGGATGTTTCTCCCTCCCTCTCCCTTCTTCTCTGAAATCAATAAAAACATATTTAGAAAACATGACTAAGTCCCCTTTCCTGCCGACGAATGTTTGGCGGCTCCAGCGTTTAGCCGTAAACCTCTTTTTTTTATACATTTTTTCACGCAACGAAACGCGCTTTGCTGAGAAGGAAAGCCTCCTTCGTGCGGTTTCATGTGTAAAAGTCACGCCGATCGTGGCCTTTTGGGGGGCCGTGGGGTAACCGGAGACGGGCCCCGTTTTCCCCACGACGGAGGGAGGCGATTCATTCTTTGCAGAAATGACCGATGGGTGCAATTTGTTTCCAAGAAGCGACAGGGGACGTTGGCGACGTGCTGTTATGGAGAAAGGCTCGATGTCGCTGGCCGGCCGGGAGACGCAAATTAAAATGACAATGGGGGTGTCGCCATACGCGCATCAGCCAACGCCACGTGCTGGCGATAACGCAGAGAGAAGGGAGCCCCCCCGCGCCCCGCGATTCCCTTGGCTGGCCGCCCGCCTTCTACCACCACTGCCAAGAATAGATCTATCTATCTATTATCGGATTTGCACCACATCATTGGCGATTCCCTCGGCTGGCCGCCCGCCCGCCCACCGCCATGGGTAGCTCATTGCCCCGCCCTCCTGTCGATGGGTGGTCATGTGACGGCGTCGCGGCCCATTTGCATATTGCCCTATTATAAGTATAGCTATCTGAGACCCTCACTTCTCAGAATATGTCCTAAGAACCCCAAAACACCCATCAGAAAGAACGTATGCCCCCCACCCCATGTTCGTAGCAGCGCCACTGACAATCGCCAAGAGCTGGAAACAGCCCAAGTGCCCATCGGCAGACAGAACAGCCGCTGGCCGCCGACACCGTGGAGTACTACGCAGCCCTGAAAAAGGAAGGGCTGTGACCGTTCGCGACGGCACGGAGGGACCTGGGGAGCAGGGTGCAGAGTGAAACGGGACAATCGGAGAAAGACGCGTCCCCCGACCTCACACCCACGTGGAAGCTAAGGAACCACGTACACGGATGCACGCAGCGAATCGAGAGCCGTGCAGGCGTGGAGATGTGAGTTCTCCCCAGAGGACCCCCCGGGGGGACAGCTGATCTTGGCTGTTCTGAATTCCTTCCACACACCCCAGGCAGACCGCAAGCCAAGCGATGAGCAATACTCCATGGCCTGTTTGCGAAATTCGGCGAATGAATATGGTGTGTGTGTGTTTAAGCTGGTGTCCCCATAGTTTCTGCTTCAGAATTTTCAATTCCTGCAAAATCCAGGGATTTTTTTTGTTTTCTTCTCTATTCGTTTCGACAGTCAACCGGGCTAACGTCCCCATTTTATGGTCTCCGGGTGAGGCGACGACCCTGTCCTACCCTGATTGTCCAAATACCGTGTTCGACGGAATCCAGAAGCAGGACGGGTGTTGGCTGATGAACACGTAGAATTCTACCAACAACAAGAAGACAGCAGCGTCCTTAGAAGGAAGGTCCCGGCGGAGTCCGAGACCTTCGGTCTAAGCTCCGGACGAATGAATGAAGGGGGTCCCTTGAATGCCTATAATTTTCTAAACAAATGGTCTCTTTGTTTCTTTTTTAGAAAAATATTATTTCCTTGATTTCAGAGACGAAAAGGGAGAGGGAGAGAGAAGCATCCATGATGACAGAGAACCACGGATCGGCCGCCTCCCGCACGTCCCCGACCGGGGACTGAGCCCGCAACCCGGGCCTGTGCCCTTGACCGGGAATCGAACTTTAGCCTCCTGGTTCCTAGGTGGACGCTCACCACTGAGCCACACTGGCTGGGCTCAGTGGCCTTTGTAAATCAGGGCCCCTCCCTCCCACATCAGTGAGTGGGTTTACGAGCCCATGTTGAATTTAACGGAAGGAAAGCCAAAAGGAAACCTATAGGACAAAAGCCTCAACGACCAAACGACCGGACAACCGGTCGCGATGACGCGCACTGGCCACCAGGGGGCAGACGCTCGACGCAGGAGCTGCCCCCAGCCAGAGAGGTTGCAGGACAGGCTGCGGGGATCCCTCTCCCAGTGCACGGATTTCGTGCACTGGGCGTCGAATCCTATATAATAAAACCCTAATATGCAAATCGAATGAACGACAAAACGACCGGTCGCTATGACGCGCACTGGCCACCAGGGGGCAGACGCTCAACATAGGAGCTGCCCCAAGACAGCCAAGACGAGAGAGAATTTCGTTTAGGCCCCATGAACGGGGCCGTGAAAGACGTCTATGTGAGGAGAACGGGGAACAGGTACAACAGCGGTTCTCAACCTGTGGGTCGCGGCCCCTTTGGGGTCGAACGGCCCTTTCCCAGGGGTCGCCTAAGACCGTCGGAAAACACATCTATAATTGCAAATTGTTTTTGTGATTGATCACGATGCTTTCATGATGTTCAATGTGTCACCATGAAATCGGGGGTCACCACAACATGGGGAGCTGTGTTAAAGGGTTCGCGGCTTTGGAAGGTTGAGAACCACTGAGGAATAGCGACGAAAATGAGTCAAATCAATGCAAACTGGGGTTCTCTGCTGTTTCTAGGAGATTGCTCACCGGGCGCGTTTATTGCAATTGATCACGTCTTCAGTTTTCTCGTTGGAATCGTTTATGACGACGGAACGGAGCAATCCTTCTAGAACAGCGGTTCTCAATCTTCCTAAGGCCGCGACCCCTGAATACAGCTCCTCATGTTGGGGTGACCCTCAACCATAACATTATTCTCGTTGCTGCTTCATCACTATATCTATATCATCTATATCTATATCTATATCATCTATATCTATATCATCTATATCTATATCTATAAATCTATATATCTATATATCTATATATCTATATATCTATATATCTATATATCTATATATCTATATATCTATATATCTATATCTATATCATCTATATCTATATCATCTATATCTATATCTATATATCGATATCAGCGGTTCTCAACCTTCCTAATGCCGCGACCCTTGAATGCAGCTCCTCATGCTGTGGGGACCCCCGACCATAACATTATTCTCGTTGCTGCTTCATCACTATATCTATATCATCTATATCTAATCATCTATATCTATATCTATATCACCTACATCTATATCTATATCATCTATATCATCTACATCTATATCTATATCATCTATATCTATATCATCTATATCTATATCATCTACATCTATATCTATGTCATCTATATCTATATCTATATCTATATCATCTATATCTCTATCTATATCTATATCACCTACATCTATATCTATATCATCTATATCTCTATATCTATATCATCTACATCTATATCTATATCATCTATATCTATGTCATCTATATCTACATCTATATCAATATCTATATCATCTATATCTCTATCTATATCTAATCATCTACATCTATATCTATATCATCTATATCAATATCTATATCATCTATATCTATATCTATATCTATATCTATATCTATATCTATATCTATATCTATATCTATATCTATACCTATATCTATACCTATATCT